ACACATCCAGCCATCCATCCAACCATCCATCCATCCAGTCAGAGCCATCCCATTTCCATCTGCGACGGCCATCGATTATCACGGGGTGCTACTTTGGCCTTAGGCTTTGACTTGTGCTGTTCCGTTAATTGAAAATTGCAAGCCTCGGTGCTTGTTGCTGCTGCCTTAGCATTTGCTCTGCCAACTGTTTGCTTTGTAATTCAGTAATGAAATATGCACACACACACACACACACACACACACAGCCCCACACCCACACAGACTCGCTCTTTTACAGCTGGGCCATGTGTCGCTTGCTTGCATACCAATTAAGATAATACGCGCACACAACGCTCAAATAGCTGAAAGTGTTAAAGGTCAGCAATGCCAAGGGGCGTTCGTCCTGGCTTGCTTTGGCTCGTGTTGATCCTTGTGTTAGGCATGCGGTTTACACATCGTTTGCGCAACTCAGCAAAGGTGTCCTCTTTTTTTTTTTGTTTTGTAAATATAACACCGCTCATAACTGACATGATAACAAAATGCACGTTAAGGTTAAGGGTTTCTAAATGAAAGAAAAGATTCTGGAAAAACCGTTGCCTACTTTTTGGGGTAATCGAAATAGCAAGCCCATGATTTTTTTTTTTTTTTTTTTTTTACATATATACAATTTATTAAACTAGTTTTCTACTACCAATATGGCAGCTTAAGCTAGTTGAAAGTTAGGGAATACAAAAGTTGTCTATAGTAAGCATCTATAGGACGCACTTATATCTATGTACATATATACAATATTTACAATGTTTTACATTAGAAATGAAATTATATTTTATGATATATATTATATATTTTATACAAGGGATCTTGTGGGGAGATCCTTTGGATGGCACTTCTTCAATCTTCTCTTCTTAGGTTTGGACAGGAGCCGCCTCGCTAGTGCGTTGGGGTGACTGCCGAGTCGCTTCTCGTAATTGCTTGCGTGCATTTCAATGACATCGCCAACCTTGGGGACACATAAGTCTCTTTCGATGTCCCTAGTGCGCATATACCAGGGAGCGTTGCATATTTTTCTGAGTATTTTAGGCAAGCCCATGATTGAAGGAGGAGTTGATTTTAGAAAGTGCTGCCTACTTTCTGTGAGGCTGAGAGATGCTTGTGTAAAATATATAGTATAATATCTTAAATAAATATCTTATTAGATCTAAAATATGGTAAACATACACATAGACTATGGACAACTGTTGAATTCCCCATTAATTTTCAACCAGCTTAAACTGCCATATTGGTAGCAGAATGCTGGTTTAATAAATTGCATACACATTTTTATGAAAAAAAACTAAATTATTGAAGGAGGAGTTGATTTTAGAAAGTGCTGCCAACTCTCTGTGATGCTGAAAATAGAAAGAAAGTTTGAATACAACAGCAGTTTTAAATATAGTTATTTATATATAATTTATTTATATCTTTTGTCGGTAACCTCTATTTGAAAATATTCATTGTTTGCCCAATTCTATATTCATTCTCTTAAATTAATCTCCAATAAGATAATCTTTGTAAAATATTTTAAGAGAACATATAACAACAATAATTTTAAGCGTTGGTTATAAAATGCTAATAACTACAAATTTGTATATGTACAGATTTTGCCATGTTCATATACTGTACTGTTTTGAAAACAATTTTGTATTTTCCTTGATCTTCATAGAATTAATACTATTGTTTTAATAATCATTCGATTTTGAAATTTGTTTATTTGTTACAACCACAAAAACTTATGAATAGGCTTTTTTGAAATTAAAATTCCTGCAAAATATTACAAGAAGATAGCAATGTAATATGCTACATTTGGAATAATTATAATTAAAATTTGAAAAAATTCACGCTACTTTTAAAACATTAAATACTTTCAAGGAAGTCCTCTCCATTAAGACACAATTAGTACACTATCCGCATTTTTTTTCGCTGGCTACGATAGCATCTGAATGCGAGTTGCTTTAAACTCATATTTTATTGTTACTGTTTACATCACAGCTGGTTTTATGCTCCACTGCCCCACTGTATGCGACCCTCTATAACTCCCCCCACCCTTCCCCTTCCACTACTGTCGCTTCTCGCTCTAATTACCGCATTGGCGCCTGTGTCTGGCCCAGCTCGGCACTGCAAATTATCATCATCATCATCATGATTGTCGTTGTCGTCAGTAGACAAGTCAATGCCAAGACACAAGATGCGGCCATATGTTGTTTATGCAAAACGCAACAACAACAACAACGGCGGCAATCGCAGATACCACAACGACAACAACACAATATGTTGCAACAAAATTTACAGTTATTGCTGCAAGCGGCCTCAGACAGGCGTCTAGAGTGGCGTGTATTTAATTAGCCATATAATAAATGCCGCGTTACGCAAAAAGGAGACGTTACATTCAATGGAGGTTTAGGTTGAGAGGAGCCGGCCAAGTAACAGGAAACTCAGGGTAGGAGTGCAGATTTTGTTTGTTGAGCTCTTGCCACAAACAGGATGGCAACGTTGAAGCCTTGTTGGTGGTGGGCGGGGCAGGAACGACCTTTAATTGAATATAATATACTCGCAGCTGTAGTCGCTGCTCCTTCTATTGCTGTTGCGGCTTCATTTGGCATAATTTACGCTAGACTGTGCAATGTGCAACCAAATGCACATTATTACGTATACGTAGTGTGGGCTGTCATCGCTGTCATTATTTGTGTAGATTGTGCTGCACATGGAGAAAAAATTGCACAAGAAATTCAATATAAAAGTAGTATATGCCATATATATTTCAAAAATGTACGGATCAGTTGCTTGCAAAGTCTAGAATGTCTGCACATTCAAATGCAATTTGGAAAAGGATAAAAGAAACTCGGAAAATCTACATCGGAAAATCGTTAGAAAAAATATCATATTTCACATATTGTCTCGTTTTTTTTCTGTCTGTGTAGTAGAGCACAGCTTATAGTTAATACCTATCTATATTTCAATGCAATGGTCGCTGCTGTTGTTGCTATTATCGTAGTTGTTGTTGTTATTATTGTTATTGCAGCTGCTCATGTTTTTCCTTTATCGGTTTGTCCTTTTGGCTGTTGTTGTTTTGTATTTCAGTATTTCAGGTTTTATCACAAACATTTGCACATTGATTGGATTGCCATGCATTGGCATTGAGGTGAAGGTCTTGCGCATTATATTTTCATTTCATCGCCAGCTGTTTCGAACCAACAATTTGCTTTTCTTTCCTAGTCTTTTATGAAGGCGCGTGTGCATGTGTGGGCAATTTTAAAGCAATTATGACAGTAATTGTTTGCGAAATAGCAAGTTTAAGGTGCAAAAGTTATGCTGCAGACCACAACTGTCGTCATTGTTGTCCTTCTTGTTATTGTTGTTGCTTAGGAACTTGGAAAATTGTGCCAATAAGCCATAAATTGTATTCTCGTTATCGATTGTGCAACAATGCTCGCGTATCGTATCGTTAACACAACTAGGCCATAATTGGTAGAGTGGGCCAAAACACTGACGTGATTTATGCTCACGAACCTTGGGGCAGACAAACTGGCGCTGCTTAGATTTATGTGATGACACAGCCTATACTATACAAGTACGTATAGCCTATCTATATACGTATACTTCTAAAATGCCAACGTATTTAATTATTAAATAGTCGTGCTCTTTTGTTTTTTGTTTTTTTTTTCTATTTGCGTGCCAAGCTCGAAAAGTGCGTGTGAAAATTGATGATCGCCTGCTGCTAGAACAATACTTGTAGTTTCATGTGGAAAAGCCATTTAAAAGCATTTTCATATCTTGGGCTTAATTAAAAAGTAGACAATGTGCGAACAAGCGAGCAAGCCTTAGTGAAGCCTTTTTGGCTCAATTGCTGGTTGAAGTGTGCCGCCCACTAGCCGCACGGAAAATTCTAATTAATTTCTTTACAATTTTCAATTTGCACGCTCCCCTTACATCTTTATTAATTTCTCAATTTCTTTTTTCTCTTTGCAGGTAATTATGATGAATTGCTTTAATAAAAAGCACTGAACTGACAGATTTAATTGACAGGTTTGAGAGTTTAAGTCACTTGCAGCAACTTTATTTTCTAAGTAATTGGTGTAATAGTGATGTTCAGCTGTGAGTTTAAGGGCAAGCAACTCAACGTATTCAATACATTTTTTATTTTTGTATTTATTTAGTTTGGAAATTCGCAATTTAAAAGTTAAATGGAAGTCTAGAAGCTGGCAATTACATTAATTACTTTTATAATATTAGAGAGTTTATTATTCCGAAAACATTTCAATACCTGTAAAAATTCATTAATGCTTTTGATTTTTTTAAATTCAGTTCAATTAAACCTAGGAACAAGACTAACTATGACTTCTGATAATGTCAGCGAACATCACAAGGTTTGCCGGGTGTCTTCAAATGCACAGTAATTACTCTTATATTTGTCCGACAAGTAGAGTAAATAGGCGTTACAAGATTAAAGTGCAGTTCTTAAACAATTAAATATTACTTGGACAACTGGGGGCTACAAACTAAAATAAAATAATGTGAGAATAGAAACATCTTTCATTATTGTTCTATATTTTTGTTTCTGGAACTGACGAAAATATTTAAAAATTTTAAAATAAAACAATGTTCATTCAATTACTGCTCAATATTTAAACCTTATTATTTCATTGCTGATAATATATCACATCTATTACGATTTAAAATATATATAGTCTACAACATTGTCATGATTGACGATGGTGTCGTCATCACGCAAAAGATTCAACGTCAAATCTTAAATTAGAAAGCGTTCTTTAGATTCTCTTAACAATCAAAAATAACTAAAAAATTGTTGTTCCTATTTATTTTCAATATTTAATGTTGAGATGATTTCTTCATTTATATATAATTTTTATATTATTTATTAGCTGTATCTTTTAATTTTAATTTAAATATAACTTAATACGCATTTTTATTATATTTTTATTTGATTTTATTTTTTATTGTTTTTTAATCATATTTTATTGTAGCTTGCCAAAATCCAACTCACTGGTAGATTCCATTGTCAGCGAAGCCACGTAAGTTCATTTTCTTTTCAACATTATTAAATATATAATTGTTTTTATTTATTATATAATAATTTTGTAAATAGTGAAAAAAAACATATAATTACATTTGTTTATTATATTTTGCATGATTTTCGATAATTTTTATTCAACGTTTGCCAATAACAAGCCGATTACAATATTGAAAAAAGTCGTTTAAAAACACAACATTTTGGATCTTATATACTTATTTATTCTTTAATGAAACGATCTAGTTTATGTAATTTTTTCAATCAATTTTCAATATCCGCCATCGAAAGCATCTTCTATTAGTTGTTTGAGCATCAAAAAACTTGTCGGTTTTAAAAAAATTGATTTTCAAATCCAGCAGGGTTTCCGATCAGCTGTCTTAAGCTGTGTAAAGTATCGATATATATTTTAATATTTTGTTCCCCCTACATATTTTTACCTATTCATTGAAACATGGGAAAAGGTTAAACTTTGAATCAAATGTTGCTCATTTTCGAAATTTAAAAGGCAACCTATGTGCTAGGGACCAAATTAGTTTATCATCACAACTCATTATGTTTTTACCTATGACTGTATTCCCATTCCGAAGCAGTCGGTGTTAAATATTCGTTATATTTGTTGTCACCTACGCAAAGCTTCAACGTTTAATATTACTTTACTGTCTGGCTGCGTCGTAAAAGCCCCATAAATAACACTTAACTTTATTTAGTAAACTCGCAACGAGACGCTCCGGATAGGGCAGGAAAACTTGTCCCCGGCCGTGCACTAAAGTCATAAAATCATTAACACAACTTCTCTACATTAAAAGCGCAACAGAACTTTATGTTCGACCCACTGCGCTTCATCCCCCCTTGTCCTTTATTTGCTGCCCTCCGGCAGCCACTTAAGCCGCAAAAAGAACTCTGTGCGGAATAATTGTCGTGAGAAGTCAAATAAAAATTGCACTTAGTTGCGAGGGAGCGCCGTTGGCAGTTAAAACTTTAATTGCACCAAATCCAAATGTAACCACCAGTTGGCAAAGTTGTTTACACATGAAGCTGTTGTTGTTCCAATATGAGTGTTAAGCTTGCGGCTTTTTGTGGCGTAGAGCATGCAGCAAGCGTTCTTCCTAATGACCCTCTACTATGAATCCTCTGCACTCCGTCGACGTACACAATTTTTCTTAATTACAGAAAACGCACCCACAGGTGCACAGCTCTTCGACACTTTACTGACTGACATGAAAAGCATAATAAATATTTAAAGTACAGTCGTCAGCATTAATATTGAAACATGTAATTAAAGTTTGCATCGCTTTTTACCAGCATTTATTATGAAAAACTTATAAACTAAATCCTAGTTCTGCAAAAACTATTAATAGAAGGTGGACTCAAAAGTAAACATATTTTATTAACGCTTAAAGAACTCAGAGAAATTGGAATAGGAATCTAGCACAATTTGTTCCTAATATTTGAAATACATTACTTACACCATCTACCTTTCAGATCAAAAAGTATACGAGAAAGAAGCAGACTCCATGTTATACTCTATAATATATACAAAAGTACTGCTGGCACGACTTTAACATTCTACTCCTTGATGCATTCATAATAATTAATTGCTTTTATTACCAGTACATAAAGAATGAACTTTAAATACATAAGCCAGCAATATATATGTATATAAGTATATATTTGTCGACGACTGTAGGTTCCTGGCTTATCATTTCCAAATTAGAGTTCAACACCATTTCTTGCATTGTTTTTGCGAAAAGCGACGACGTGTTGAGCATAAAATTAAAATTGTTGTTGCCTACTTTTTGGGGCTGTCAGGCCAGACCCTCCTCCTCCCATTGGCTATTCATTTCAAGTTAATTCATCTCAATCAGCTTAAATGTCATGCTAAATATTTCATTTACATGAAACAGCACCGAAACAAAGTTAGATTCGTTTTGGGGTTTTTCTCATGCCTTTGCCAACTAATTAATTCGCATAAAATTCACAGCATTCACACCTTTTTGTGCTTGGCCTGTGGGTCCCTTTACACTCGCACCCAGCCTTTGCTTTGCCGTTTTTGTGACACCTTTTGCTTTGCATTTGATTGACTAAGCGCGCATACACACAAAATACTTGTATTTGTTACACAGCAGCTTCTACACACATACACACACACACACGCCTATACGAAGGTTATATTTATGTATAAATTTAGGGGAGCAGTTGCCTAAGCATAACAGTTTATCATGCAAAGATTTGCTTTAGTCCTTTTTATTTATTTATATTTGCACTTCCTGTGTGTGTATGTTACATTAATACACGCACATATCAGGAGCCCACATGACATACTATACGTATACGCAATATAATGTTCAACTGTATGTTGTTAGCACACTTTATTTATTGTTATTATGCGCTCATTCTTGATGAGCACTCTTATATAACTGTCTGGCATATCATAATTTTAACTGATTGCGAGATCAAAACCAAATTGAATGCTTAGGCCGAACAAAGGCACGTTACGTATACGCATCGTATAACGTTTTGACAACCACTTGCGTGTGCTGCGTTGTTGCCAAATGTCAAAAGCACCCCACAACCCATTTCACACACACACACACACTACTCATCCCTATACCCTCGGCTCGACATTCAAACATTATGTTGAAGTCCTTCATTCGTATTATTATGTTTTATTTTTAGAATTTAGTTCTTTATGGATTCATCATTGCACAGTGGATAGTTTAACAAAAGCAGCGGAAATATACAATTTGTTATCAATTGTAAATTGTACATATAGCATTTAGAAGGTGTAGTTGTGAGAAAGAAACACAGCTGATTTCTTTTTTCTTCAAAGTTTTAACACCAGACAGAAGAACATTGCAATTTGGATTCGTCTCATCTTGCTGGTTATATACTTAAGTATCTATAACGTGTGGCTCTTCTTCTGGGCGTTAAAAACTTACTTACTTATTTATTTATTAACTCATTAATAGGTGGAAAAGTGTATAATGGTTGCTTTCCCTATTTTCCACTCAAAGGATATACGAGTTTAGGAGTCTGCGAAGAATCATACATCAACACAATCTAAACTGATATTGAAATTTGTCTTATTCTGAAAACCTAGAATTTTCTATGTTTATAACATTAACTCATTAATAGATGGAAAAGTGTTTATAAAGTTTGCTTTCCCTATTCTTTTTTACTTATAAAATGAGTTGCAAGTATCCAGTGTGCCTCGTCTTCCACTTCCTTTTTTGATAATTATTTTGGGCTCTGTCGGGTGTTCGCTGCAGAGTTAAGTAAAAGCAGCGTTGAAGCACGCGCCAAATGTTTGTCGTCTGTGTTATCCTTGATGTAGCGGCATTAGTTGTTGGTACTGTTGTTGCTCTTGTCATCCCCGCAGATAATATTTTTTCGGCTGTCATGTCATTTGGGTAATGTTTCGACTTAGCTGCCACAATCGGAGCCACCAACACCGTCTACGTCACGGGCACCGCAGCCGTAAAGCAATCATATTAAGTGGATTGTGAGGCGTCGTCGCCGCCGCCATCATCGTCGTTAACTAAATGGCGGGCAGAGGTGTGGGCCAGATGGGCTTCAATTACAAGCCCTGGTGTATATGACAGCCGCTTGTTAACAGTTATGTAATTGCAATGTGCTTAAATGCTGAGGATTTTCCTTGTTAGCTACGAAAGGCTTAGCATTAATGGGTTAGGTAATGGAATGAGTAAACACTTTTGGTAATATCCCTAAAATAATGACGCTGATGCTACGTTTGTTTTGCAAATTGAAAGAATACAAAAATTGGACTAGCTTACTAATTAAAAATATTAAGAGCTCTAAGAAATATATATTACATATTGTAATGACAAAGGATCTTCTTTTCTGAACTCATTCCTAACGCAAAATTACAAATTACAAATATTGCATATTTTATTACATGCAACTGCTTATAAGAGCGCTGTGTTTGTAAAATTAGAAAACTCTTGTCTATGATTTTGATTACTATATTTCCTCATTTATTTTTTAGTATTTAGAATTTTAAAAAATAATTGTATGAGTGTAAGGCTTATGGAAATATATACCATAATGGATTATGCAGAGCTTTCACAAAGCTATAACAATATTTATAGATCGACTTTTCATTTATATAAATATTTATATATAAATCCCCTTATTCAGGAATAAATATTACTTTCTTTGGGATTGGTTCAAAGTAGAGGTTTTAAGTTAAGTTTAAGTTAGAAGTTTTAAATTATCTTGCAGACAAGGTTTGAGTAATTGTGAATATTTTATATTTATACGCGTATTAATAATATTCAAAATTAGTGAGCTTGACCATATCAGTTATAATCAAACAAAATTTCAATATATATAGGAATATTAATTACCTAGCAGCTCCTTTCAATAATTAAAATTCATTCATGCAGTATTCTTATAAAAGAGCCTCATTATTGAAATAAAACACAAGCAAAAACATCACAACAAAATTGCTTAGCAACTGATTATAAAAGAATAAATAATGTGTAACAAAAACTCATCAACGGAAAATAGATAATAAAAGTAAAATATAAAAGGAAAGCATTTCGAATAAAGTTAAACTGCGACATGGCTGACATATATATGAATAAAAATGAATATTTATGCATGCGTTTAATGTGCCGTTCATCTTTTATTAATAAATATACAGACAAACATAACTGTGTACATAGTGTACATATAGGAGATAGGAGCTCACTGGCAGGCAGACTCACATTCCTTACGGACACCCCACGGTTAGCGGCCTTAGCTAAGGTTGACTTCCGGAACCTCCATCTGTGTATAAACGTATAAGCATTACCTGCTGCTTACCTGCTTGCTGGTAATTTGTCAAATGTGAATTTTTCTGCTTCCCATTTTCTCTGGCTTGCGTTCAGTTCATGCTTTGCCAGGACTTGCTTTTATATTTTCGTCAGAAGTAGCAACATTTCTGGATACATACTTGTACGAGTAGAACACTCAGAAAAAACTTGGATAAATTTTCAA